TGTAAAAACAGAGATCCATAAAATGAGAAGAGAGGATTGGTCCAATAAGCCCAGCTACCTTACCTTTGGCATCTTTTATCCTATATCCTAAAAACAACCTTTTTTTTTTTTTTTTTGAGACAGAGTCTAGCTCTGTCGCCCAGGCTGGAGTACAGTGGTATGATTTCGGCTCACTGCAACCTCCACCTCCCAGGTTCAAGCGATTTTCCCGCCTTGGCCTCCCGAGTAGCTGGGACTATAGGTGAGCACCACCACGCCCAGCTAATTTTGTATTTTTAGTAGAGACGGGGTTTTACCATGTTGGCCAGGCTGGTCTCAAACTCCTGATCTCAAGTGACCTACCCACCTTGGCCTCCCAAAGTGCTGAGATTACAGGCGTGAGCCACGGCGTGCAGCCCCGCTCCCCCTTTTTGTTGTTTTAAAAACAGGGTCTCATTCTGTTGCCCAGGTTGGGGTGCAGTGGCACAATTATAGCTCACTGTAACCTTAACTCTTGGGCTCAAGAGCCCTCCTCAGCTTCCCAAGTAGCTGTGACTACAGGGACATACCACCATGCCCAGCTAATTTTTTTTTTTTTTTTTTGTAGACACAGGGTATTGATATGTTATTCAGGCTGGTCTCAAACTTCTGGGCTCAAGCGATCCTCCCACCTCAGCCTTCCAAAGTGCTGGGATTACAGGCGTGAGCCACTGCACCAGACCACAACCTCTTTTTTAAAAAAAGAAGAACAAAGTATGTAATAAAGATGTCTGAAAGCTAGTAATTGAAAGTCTTTTGGGGAAAGGGACAGGGTCTTATTTAGCTCTGAATACCTCACATCACCTTGCCTAGTATCGTTACTATCACAGTAGTCACTCAAATCTGGTGAAATGATTAGTGTCAGTATGAAATCAACATTAATACTGTCTTTAGTTAAATAAATTTGCCAAACTACATCTCCTCACATAAGAAACCCCATTTTAAACTTCCTCAATTGTGAAAAGATGTTTTAATCTACCTCAAGAATTTAATAAAATAATACACGGCAAAATGCCGGGGTAGATTCTATAAGTTCTTGGAATATATGATGATATCCCTGTGATCAAAAAGCCGGATCAGTCTCTTCTAAGATAGTTTAGACTCAGCTGTGCTTCATTTTCCTTACTATGAGAAAAAATTCTAACAGGTTTGCATCCCCTCTCTGGCCTCGGTTCTCTGACGAGGGTGAAATAACAAACTCTAAAGTTCCTTCTAACTCCAGACACCTGTAAACCTTTTAAAAGGCTCAAGATTGCAACTCCTTAGCCTGAATGTTAGACTACTTCCTCACCTACTCCATTTCCCCAGGACCCCATGTTTTTTCTCAGGAAAGGTAGCACGTAATTCATGATTTAAGTTCTTTAAAACACCTATTTTCTACTCATTTTACACGCAGACTTAAGTTGAATTTATACATCTAAATTAGATCTTCTGAATAATCCAAATAATTATTGTAGGCCAGGCGCGGTGGCTCAAGCCTGTAATCCCAGCACTTCGGGAGGCCGAGACGGGCGGATCACGAAGTCAGGAAATCGAGACCATCCTGGCTAACACGGTGAAACCCCATCACTACTAAAAAAAAAAAAAAATACAAAAAACTAGACGGGCAAGGTAGCGGACGCCTGTAGTCCCAGCTACTCGGGAGGCTGAGGCAGGAGAATGGCGTAAACCCGAAAGGCAGAGCTTGCAGTGAGCTGAGATCCCGCCACTGCACTCCAGCCTGGGTGACAGAGCGAGACTCCGTCTCAAAAAAAAAAACAAAAAACAAAAAAACAGCCAACTGTGCTCTGGGTGTGGTGGGTCACATCTATAACCTCAGCACTTTAGCAGGCTGAGGTGGGAGGATCACCTGAGCCCAGGAGGTCGAGCTTGCAGTGAGCTGAGATCCCGCCACTGCACTCCAGCCTGGGTGACAGAGCGAGACTCCGTCTCAAAAAAAAAACAAAAAACAAAAAAACAGCCAACTGTGCTCTGGGTGTGGTGGGTCACATCTATAACCTCAGCACTTTAGCAGGCTGAGGTGGGAGGATCGCTTGAGGCCAGGAGTTCAAGACCAGCCTGGGCAACACGGCAAGACCTCCATCTCTAAAAGACATTTTTTTGTTTTTAATTAGCCAGGCATGGTGGTGCACACCTGTAGTTCCAGCCACCAGGAAGGCTGAAGTGAGAAGATCATCTGAGCCCAGGAGTTTGAGGCTGTAGTGAACTATAAGCATGCCACCGCACTCCAGCCTAGGCAACAGAATGAGATCCTGTCTCTAAAAACAAAAATAAAAACATGTTTAATGGCCATCGGTCAAAAATAGGTTTATAACTACTAACTCTAAAGAGTAAATCTTGGTTTTCCAATTAAGGAAAATTTATTTCCTATATTTTAAATCAGAAAATAGCCACAAAAAATCA